ATTTGTACCATAAAAAAAAATCATCAGGAGTGAATAATTTGCTGTAGTAGCCAAAACAGCTCACCAGATCTTCAGCTCTGCTAATCAGTGCCGAATGTTCTGGTTTGGGAGGTATCTGTCCTGCCTTGTTCCACCCATCATGGATGACCGCTCTGTTCCACTCCCATGGCCCTTCTGGCAGTATTAGCAAACTGGACACACCAGAGGAGAACGGCCAAGATGGGCAGGGGCCCAGGAGCTCATGCTGCATGAGGTTAGTTGGAGGAAATGGCGGAGTGTAGCCTGGAGCAAGGAAAATTTAGTGAGGATATGACAGATATCTTCAAGTGTTTGACCAGCTGTCAGATGGGAGAGGGGTTAGCTTGTTCTGCTCTGCCCCAGAGACCAGACCTGAAAGTGACAAGTAGGATTTGGAAAGGGGTCAAGCTGGGCTGGGAGGGAGGGAAAGTCCTAAATAACAGAGCTCCTCTGAGAAGGTGCTAAGAGGAGAAAAGCAGCTGACACAAGCCAAAACTTCCTGACAATTACACACTTCCCAGTTTCTGATCTCTCCGTTCAAGAGGAGAAGGGGCTCCCCCCCGCCCCAACAGCCCTTCCCCTTGCCGTTCAACAGAGAATTAAGATCAATCCAAAAACCTAAGCCAACATAAAAGGAACATGTAAAAGCCTGAGAAGAGAGGAGACCGAAAGGGAGGGGCGGTGGCATTTTCAAGTTGAGTAAAGAATGCTTTTATTTTCAGTTTTGTGGATCATACACATACAATTGTCTTTCAAATATTTGGGTTTCAAATGGTCATTTTGTATTTTCTCTAAATTTAGGGACCATTTTTATGATGAAAATCACTGAAAAATACAACTTAATGTGATGGAAATGTGTCTAACGGGACCCTAGGCACTGAATATTGAAACTGGAGGTATATTCCTATTGCCCATTTATACCTTTCTTAGAAAAGTTCTTAGGAAACTTTCCTTTTCTACCTTTATTAAATACAGAGTGAATTCCTCTTTAAATAGCAAATGCTTGTTATTGCATTATCATTTTAGGCTTACATGACACTGAATGGGAAAGAAGGAAAGCCCATGGTGCTGCATTCTGAAATTATGGTAAGAAAGGCACATCAGAAGAATTTCCAAAGTCATGAGGAAATGAGACCTTGCTTTGAAGAGCGTTCATAATGGCTCTTTATTCTTAACAGAAAAAGTTCATCGTATTGGGCATGGTGACCTGTTTGGCAGAACTGATGTCTTCTGTGAATAATTTATCCTGCAGATCTTGTCAATCCTACAGAACTGGAGAGTACTCACTTCCATGTTGGATAAATAGCCACTGAGCATCGCATTAGAGCCTACTAGAAATGCCATCGTTTTAATAATTTCATTTCAACTTTCCTTACAAAATCAGCAGGATTATAAAGTACTGCTCATTTAGGAGAGAGTGGCTTCATTAAAGTGGGCTTACCGCACTTTTTTGCCCAGTGGTTAGGAAAGTCATTCATGAACGTGATGTTTCCATCAGCACAGTGTGTTTGCAGAGGCTCCCCAAGCCACTTAGAGCAAGGAAGAAGTTTGCAGCTATGTAGCAATGTAAAAAAGAAGCTGTCATTCATTTTAACACAAAAATCTACAAATACTTGACCTTTCTGACATATAAACATTTACAACGTTACAGAAATATTCCTTTTTTTGTCCATATACATTAATGTTGATTGTGTGTGTTTCTTTTACATCTAGAGTGAACAGTTAAGCAGCAAAGAATATATATCTTTTAGATTGTGAAGTATATATATATATATATATATATATATATATATATAATATAGGTTATACATATGTATATAAACATGAAGTATATGAAGTATACAGATATAGCCGTGTCTATATAGAATACTTGGGCAGCTAAGTGGTATGGTGGATAGAGTGCCAGGCCTGGGGTCAGGAAGACTCAACTACCTGAGTTCAAATCTAGCCTCAGACACCTTACTAGCTATGTGGCCCTAGGCAAGTCACTTCACCCTGTTTCCTCAGTTTCCTTATCTGTAAAATGAGAAGGAAATGGCAAACCACTCCAGTATCTTAACAGCAAATCACTCCAGTGTCTTTGCCAAGAAAACCCCAAATGGGGTCATGAAGAAGCAGACGCAACTGTAAACAACTGAACAACTATATAGAATACTTAATATTTTATGGCCATTGTAGTGTAATGGAAAATGACCTTCTCTTCCGTAATACAAGATTAAGAAAGCAGTTTTGGCTAGTGATGAGCTGATGTAAAGACTACATATTAGCATGGAAAGGGCGTCAGGTGCAGGAGTAGCCAACTCTGGATGTTCAGCTTTTTCTCAGTCATGGCATATGGTTGGGAGAAGCATGTGGAGCGTGGAGCCTAACCCCAAGAACCAGAGCCTCAGTACAAGAGGAATCTTTGTTCTAAAACTAGCCACAAAGCCTCACCCACTCCTGCCCCCAAACCCCATGCCCTGTGGGAGCCTTATCAACATCAATCCTCTTCCTTAGAAAGCCATTCCAATATTCTCTGACCAGAGATGAAGGGTGGAGGGTACATTCAGGGAGGACCAACACCACTGGTGGGAGGGCTCTTTCCACTGTGGGTGTCCACCTCATTCAGCCAGCTCTTACCTGTGGCTTCAAGAAGATGTGGCAGGCTCAGCAGCCACACCCAGGACACTTTTTCATCAGATGGGCTAAATCAGATTGAGGGTAACCCAGGGCTCAAAACATCCTTCAGAGAGTTGGGGGGGGCGGGGTGTACTCCAAGCACATGAAGATTTCCCCTAGTGGAATGGGCGGATGAGAACAATTTGTTCCAGCGGCAGCTGAAACAGGAGCTATGGAGTGCTTAGAACTTGGTTAGGCATTGAAGACACCGAGGTCATCCACCACATCCCTGGCCATCCCCAGTCATCTTGACTTTGTCTTGTCATTGGACTCCAATGATTCTGGAAAAGTGAGTGAGGCCAACAGCTTCACCCAACTCCACCTCACTTCAATCCAACTTATGTGCAAATCCAAAGACATCAGCCATACCATTTTCCGATTTTTACCGACCTCAAAGAGGCAAGTGATGAAACAGCAGCCACAGACACACCAGGAGCTGTAGACACAACCCTGCACACAGGTGGCCCAGGCCAGAGAGTCATCTTCTCACTGTACTGAAGCAGCAGTGGGATTCAGCAGCCCCCTCGCTGTCTGAGCAGCCTTTTTAAGGACTGCACTGCTTACCTCCTGGTGGGAGGAAAGGGCTAGAAAAGGTGCCCCCAAAATTGTCTCCTTCACCCAACCCTGGCCTGCTCACCACACTAGGTAGGGATCCCACCCTGTAGTCAAAACACACACACAAAATACAAAAACTGTGCGAAATGTACATTTGCCTAAAAGACTTTTACAGAGAACAAGGCAAGTGCTTTACACGGTCAGAAGATGCGACACGAGGATGCTTTGGAATTGATTGTGTGACACGGGAGACACTGGCACAGGACGGCCAGTATGATGTGCCCTCCTCAGTGAAGGTACTGTGCTCTGTGAGCAAAGCAGAATTGCAGCAGCTCCACAGAATCATGTAATGTGAAAATTTAGAGCCATCTCCACTACAGTATTTGTGCCTGACCTCTGGTAGAGCCTCCAAGCTCGTACTGGTCTGATCAGCCATAGCCAGACACTCTGTACCTTGACTTGGGCATAATGATGTCATTTGGGTCCTCTGAGAATGAAGGCCAGCAACCAGTGGCAGGATGAAGTACAGAAGATGCGCTTGCATGCAGTGGTTCACTCAGAAGGATGCCAAAGCCTGAGCTGATGTCATCTACCCTGCTGGCTTTGCAGAGGTCCTCAGCATCAAGAAGACAGGCTAATGTTGCCATCAGGTCCAGGACACCAAGACTCCCTTTGCTGTTCCTTGCATCCCGTCGGAGTAGGTGAAGTCTGTATTGTGCAGCTTTGGAAGGATCTTTGTGAACACAAAAGGCATTGCCTCCCTCTCAATCTGGTGTGCCATGTTGCCTGTGTTGTATGTTTCCCACATCCACTCATCAGAGGGACTAAGACGGCTGGCATTCCGCCATAAGTAGCCCCTTGGGATGAACCTACGTCCAGGCCAGTCCTAGTATGGCAGTGAGCGAGGCTCCTCCTCTGCAGGGCCTCGGCACTGAGCTCCCACAGGCCCTGCTAAGCTGGAAGAACCCGCTGGCGTGTACGCCTGGATCTGTAATACAGACGAGGCTGCTGCTGCTGTTCTCAACGAGGACCTAGAACATCACGAGCTGAATCGAATCTAAGTGAGGCAGAGTTGCCAAAGTCCTCAGCCTCACACAGTCATCAAGTCCAGTGACAAGACAAAGGTCAAGACAACTGGCGATGGCCCAGGATGCAGTGGGCAGTGCTGAACCTGAATTCAACTCCCACCTCAGACATGTATTAGCTGTATGATTCTAGGCAAGTTATTTGACCTCTGCCTCAGTTTCCTTACCTGTAAAATGGAATAATAATAGCACTTACTTCACAGGGCTGTTGTGCAGACCAAATAAGATGTCTATAAAGTGCTTAGTCCAGTGCCTGGCACACAGAAGGCACTGTATGCATGCTAGCTATTAGCTTGGACCGAAAGCCCCGAGAGGATCTTAACTCTAAGAAGCCTTGGCCTGTTCTGGCGTTTCTTTACTTCCCTGTGGTGTGCATGGGTGCCAGAGCTGAGGCTGAGATAAAACTAAGGAAGAATACAATTGTCTAAAATGTGATTCCTCTTATATTGACATGCACTGGGGAGTCTTTACAATAGAGACAGTATAGATTTTTTTAAAAGCAACCCCTAAACTTGTGATTAAAAAAAAAGTGTTGTTCCTTGGTCAATGAGTTATGAGTGGATTGTAAAAGCAAAAGAAAGCATGTTATCAAAGCTCATGCTGGCTGTTATTGCCACACAGTTTGAATGAGCATCACCTTCTAAGTCCTTGGCATTCATGTCCTCATTTTTTGGTTCATTTTAGGTGTTAACCAGTGGAGATCACTTTCCAAACAGGTGAGAAGTGTCACTCAGACTTGGCCTGCTCGTGGTGGTGGGTGGGTGGGTGGGTTTCAGAATGAGCAAAAATAGTCCTCTTGATCAGAGATGTGTAAATACTCTGAAAATACTGGTCCCTGAAATGGACTGGGGACTTCCACACAGCCCAACCTCCCCTCCTCCCTCCTCCAGAGTTCTAGAACCTCTCTTCAGCCTGCAGGTGTCAGAGTTTGGTGGTGGTCCTGGAGAAGGAGGAGGTGGAAAGAGGAAGAAGAAAAAAGCATGCATTTTTTACCCAATCCATTCGAATGAGATCAATGCTTGTTACACCGTACCTGCTTCTCCCCGCAGACAGGGCTGAATATTCTCTTGACTTTAGCCACAGGTTGAAAAACAGTCTCAGTTGTGTGGAGTTGTTTGAACCCTGGCATGACATTCAGCACAAGGCATCCAGGGACAAAACTTTCCCCTAAAGGATAGCCAAGCCTCCCATACATGTGTCCATTCAGTACTCCAGTGTGTCTGTGATCACTTGGATTCCCTCCAGTGAATCAGATCAAAGCCCATCTATACTGTCTGTCCTGTCTCTGGGCTCCCAGTGTACTGAAGGCCCTCCTCAATTTCTCCTGACACACATTCACAAATCTGGATTTGGTTTAATTTAAGTTGTCAAAGGATCCATTCCTTTGTCCTGAGTGAGGAGCTCAGGGAAAGATGCAACTAAGTTACATGCATTCCCTTTAAAAAGCTCATGCCAAACTTGGAAGGGGGCAGGCATGCAAAGTGAGAGAGAGGAGGAAAGGAGGGAACAGAGAGAGACAGAGAGACAGAGAGAGACAGAGACAGAGTTACAATCATAATGCAGCTGTGGGTTCTGGCCATTAACCACACACACCTGCTGTGCCCTGAAGAAATGCAAGCCCCTTTCTAGTGAGCCCTGGTACCTCACAGTCTTTTGAGTGGCAAAAAACTGTCACAGCAACATAAACCTTTAATCAAACATTGTTGGCAAGTCAGGAATTCCCTGCACTAGAAGTAAGGAAGCTTTTCAGAGAAGCTTCCAAGGGACTTTTGGCCCCCTGGGACCTCAGGTTAAGTGAGATCAGCAGGTAACTAGACCCACACACAGGGTCTTTTTCAGTTCTGCATTCCAAGTAAGTCCAGGACCCCACCCCACCTTCAGGAAAGGGGTAAAGCCCTCCCCTACCTTCAACTAAATAGACACTGAGAAGCAGAATATAACTCACCCCCCCCTTAAGACCCTTAAACCTCAGGAATCAGGCAAACCCTGAAGTCTCTGAAGTCACAGTTGGATTCCAAAGCACCCAGTCATCTAGCTGTGCTTCCCAGATAACTAATATCTCTTTGGAGGTTACATAACTGTGTGGAATCCTGAGAGGCAAGTGCTCTATGGCTAGTGGCTGCTGGCAGTGATGCTGCTGCCATGGTCTTCGCCATGTAGAGGACATACCACCAACATATTTGATCACAGAGGAACCAGAGGGAGGTCTGCACAGCCAGCAAAACACTGACCAGGGCAGCAGTAATTGACAGTGGCATCATTAATATATTATGAGTAAATCCTCTGTGACCCTGTGAAGCCATGTGGTGTGCCAAGAGTACCCACTCAAACTATTTGGTCAATCAGTAAAACAGATGAGGTACACAGCATGCACAGTAGCAGAGCATTTGATAAGTGTCCCCAAACACCTCAGTTATAGGGGAAAGGCTGGGAAAAACTACTGGAAAAACTGTCCATCATTCTTCCAGAAATTAGGGATACATCAACACTTCAAGCCATGCACCAGATGAGCTCCAAAAGGCTATGTGCCCTACATACGGAAAGTCATATCATAAGCAAATTACAGAAACAAGGAAGGAACTGCCTTTTGGATTTATAGATAGGATCTCACATGATACAATGGACAATTTTGATTTAATGTTAGAAACAAATCTAAAATTAGAAGGCAAAAATCTTTGCTACAAGTTTCTCTGATAAAGATCTCACATCCAAAATATAGTTATATGCACACGCATATACATGTATATGTATGTGTGTGTGTGTGTGTGTGTGTGAAACTGATTCAGATTCATAAGAATAAGAGCCATTCCCCTATTGATAAATAGTCAATGTATGTAAACAGGCAGTTTCCAAAGGAAGAAACCCAAGCTATCAACAATCATACAAAAAATTCTCCAAATCACTAATAATTAGAGAAATGCAAATTAAATCAGCTTTAAGGTTTTATCTCACACCAGATGACAAAAGAGGAAAATGACGAATGTTGAAGGATCTGGGGAGAAACACATACACTGGTGCTTGAAGGCAGCCCTACTATAAACTAGCCCAGCCATTTTAGAAAGCATAATGGAGGCATGCCCAGAGAGTTACCAAACTCCACACATACCCTATCACCCACTGATACCACTACCAAAGAAATCAAAAAAAAAAAAGAAAGGGATCCATAGGTACGAACATATTTACAGCAGTTCTTCACTGGGTAGCCGAAAACTGGAAACTAAAGGCGTGTCCTATTGGGGAATGGCTAAACAAATTGTGGCAGCATGTAGTCGTGCTGAGATAAGAAAAGATGAAGAGCAAAGTGATCTGGACTAGGAGAACAATTTATACAATGGCAACACTGCAGAGAAAAGACACTTAGAAAGACAAAGAACTCTGATCAATGCAATGGTAAACCCCACGTCCGAGAGAACGCAGAGGAAATACTCGCCTCCTGATAAAGGGAGAGGGGAGAGAACTTCACATGCAGAAAGAGACAGATATCTTTGGACTTGGCTAATGTGGGAATTTGTTTTGCTGAACTGCATAGATATGTATTGAGAGCTTTATTTGGGGTTTGTTTATTTTTTTAAATTTGCTGGAGAAGTAGAGAACAGATTAATTTTAAATTACATTAATTTAAATTTTTTAATATTAATAAAAAAAGAAACGATATGGTAGCATTGTCTGGCCAATCACCCATTTGTAAAATTGTCACCATGAAACTAACTGTCCCATAGGTGCCGTTTCTTCTAAATTGTGATTTCTCAGAATTCAGTAACCATCAAAGAGGAGTGTCTCTGTATTGACTTACTTAGTGTCACAACGTTTCAGTTTGTGGATGTAGATGAGACTCTTGCTTCACTCCCTTGTTAGTGGCCAGAAGAGAATAATAAAAAAAAAAATTGGGAAAGACTTTCTAAGAAAAGACGTGTGTGTGTGTGTGTGTGTGTGTGTGTATGTGTGTGTGTGTGTGTGTGTGTGTGTGTGTTTAAATTCCATCTTTGTAAGTCAGAACATTTGTACATAGTTATTTAAATAACCAGTTGTCCTATTTGGTGAATTGGATTTTTTTTTTTGCCTCATGCTCAATAATTAAAATATTTTGTAGGAATTAAATGAAATGCTTAAAGAAACACCACCAGCTTGGAAAGGATCATCGAAACTTTTTCGAAATCTTAAGGAAAAAGGTAAATTAACTGATAATTGATGATCCTTATTACTTTACTACTTTGGCTTTTCTATCACACTGTTTTACATTGACAGACTTTAGGAATATTTCTCTAAAAGCAGCTCAGCTTTATTCTTCAAGGGGCCAGAAACATCAAGACCAAGTTTTCTCCACAGAAAACATCATCTGATAATGAATCACTTGTGCAACTTGCCCAAAACCTGTGTCCTTCCTTCCGTGCGGTTTCACAATGCAGAATGGAAGTTTTCTCCAGGAACGTGGAAATGTGCCATGATAAAGTCATTCTCTCCAGACTCCATCCCCTTTGTTGTCCTTCCAGCAGAACACAACAATTTGCGGCTTGCTATCCTCTTTAATTTAATCCTTTTTATTGAGGGCTTTGGGTTTACACCCGTCTTTCAGCTCTCTGTCGCCATTTTCCCTTGCAACAAGGAAATGCTGTTAAGCTGGACCCCAGTCCCTGTCCTACAGAGAGGGTCAGGCCTCTGCCTGCCCTAGCCTCGAACTCCAGGCCTGCATCAGCCTCCCGCCCACGTTGGCCTCCTCTCACTGACCTTGCCACATACATTTTGTATCCTGACTCCTGGCTCTGCTGATCGCCTCTGCCCCAGCTCAGACAGATCTTGCCATGGGAAATGACTTTTTAGAGGAAATGTTTTAAGTAGAGCCCATTCCCATAGGGTCTCTATTCAGGTGTGTTCAGCTCTTTGTGATCCACATGTGTTCTTGTGACGGAGGTGGAGTATTTAGGCTCTCAAAGCAAACCTTGTCAGAATTTCTCCTACACGAGCTCTTCCACAGGGCTCTGCACCACATGTGCTCCACATTCCTTGTCCAGGAAATGAACGTAACAATACTCTGTCTTCCTAACTCATAGAGTGATAAAGGATCGTTCTACTTGCGACAGACTGTCTCCATTTTCTCCAGCCTTGGAAGCTTGGAAGGCATCTGGTACTCCAGGGTATTCTTGAGTAGTTGGTGTTTTTTCCTTTCTATCTGTCCCTGAATATCTCATGGCAAACCTTTTTTTTCTTAGAGTAAAATTGGGACTGCCCTCCAGGGTCCCGAACGTATGTATCTTATGCTTCCTCTGCACCCTCCTTGTATATGAACCTGGCTGAGTTTGCACAAGTGCCTGCCCTCTTGGGCTCAATAAGTGCCCCTAGATTTTCTTTCATCATTATTGGGGGCTCTTTAGGCAACAAACAGATGACATGATATGGACCAGTTCTTGAGCCTCTGTTCTAAATAGCCCCCAGGCAAAGGGGATCGAGCTCTCGTGCCCCAAGCTTGGCCAACCACCTACCCATTTTCTTCTTTCTTTCCCACATTGCAGTCCATTTTTGCCTTTCTTCTTCTCTGAATGATCCTTGTGGCCTTCTCAGTGCACAGTGGCTATCCCAGAACCCTTCTCCCAGATCAGCCAAGCAGAACTACCTGCCATGAGGTCACAATGTTTTCATCCAAATGAGAGAAGAGAAGGCCTTCAAGGCCTTTGGGGGAGCTACCTTCCCAAGCTCATTGTTCCTCAGCATTGCTTTAGTTCTCCACAAAAAGGGTAGCTCTGAAGACTGATGGATGATGTCATGAGGCTTGACACCCCTTTGTCAAATATCTGAGCCCAGGTAAGAGAGAGAAAGGCTCCCTTCAGGTTCTGGTTTCTCAATCTTAACTCTCCCATCCAGCCGCCTGTCCCGGTTTTGTCTGGAGCAGCCCTGAAGCAAGAACCTGGCCATAGGCTGATGCTTCTAAACTGCTTGGAAAGCTTCTCTTTACTAGGGCACAGAAAGTGCAGGGGCCCTTGCTCAGATGTGGCAAACATTTCTACTTGAACCCACACACACACACACTTTTTTAGAAGACTGTACTTAAGAGCCATTTCTCCTTCCCAAGGAATACCAAACCATGGCTTGGACGCATGAAGGAGACCTGGAGAGGGATGGCTGCAGGCTGAAACCTATCCTTTTTCTGAAGCCCAACAGAAATCACATTCCTGAGCAACATGCCTAGCATGTCAGTAGTCCACTCCTGCCTTACTGAGTGGCTGAGCACAGCTAAGCAGTGTCTCAGAAAATTGGGTTCTCCATCATCTCTGCTGATTTTGTTTTAATAATTATACATTGATGGCCATTCACAAAAGCGATTTTAACAAGAGGCTAAGGGAAATGGGATAATTCTTCCCTTTTTCTGATCTTTGGGAGAGCATTAATAAGTTAGTAAATGAATAATGGTTAATAGTATGAGCAGTACCCATAATATGCCTTTCCATTTGTGTTAATAAGCATTAAGAAGAATTTGTTATAGCTTTACCTAAGAGTCTATGAAAATAAGAGATTAGAATCCTTGTGGCTGTGGTTAAGTTTCATGAAGTAGCATCTTCTAATCTAACCTAAGATTTTATACCTGCTACAGAATTGTCATCTCTCTTTGTATGTTGGTACATAAAAGATAGAGTAAATGTGTTTATCTTCTATGAATCAGAGCTGATGATTGTTTCTCTTCCTAGGTGTGATTTCTTACACAGAGTACCTGTTTCTTTTATGTATTCTAACAAGTAAGTATATTCATTACAATCTATTATTTTGCTAGTGTGAAAATTTCATGTCAATGACAGCCGGATTCTGGGGGGACGGGGGGGGGGGTAGGACAGTGTAGATGTAAGATTCCAAACAGCATTGGGCATCTGCCTTGTGTTGTGGTAGAATTCAGATCTCAAAGCACAGGGTCCAGACCACTAAGGGTCATCCTTGGAGGAAGCCATGGGAGGAGCCCACAAGTTCACATACAGCATCACAGGTATTTGTATACATGTCTTCTAGGGTGTGGGAACCCTCTTGTGTCCTCTTTGTCTTTGAATCTACAACAATGACACCCACTTTGTGGAAACTCAGAAATATGCATTCTAGAACTAGCAAGCATTTATTAAGTGCCACTGTGTACTCAGCACTGTACTTAGTGCTAAGGATACCAAGGAAGTTGAAAGGCAGTCCCTGCCCTCAGACCTAATGAAGGAGACAATGATCAGGGAGCTGTGTAGAAACAGGATAAAGTGGAAAGGCTGGGCAGGGAAGGCACGAGGAGGCTCTCAGGAGGGCGAGACTGCCTTGCCCTGCAGCATCTATGCCAGTTATTGCCTCTTGGATGGGATCTGACAGATGCCATTTGTTGTGAGTGGCCTGACATGGAGGTGCCAGAGTACTATGCTTGGCTTTGTTTTAAACATTGATGGTATGAGAGCATGAGAAGCCTTAGTGGATAAGAGGTTGGAAGAATAGTGAGTTAATGTAAAACCGGCTCACCTACCATCATTCTAGGATGGACAGTGGCCATGGCAGTGGAAGTACAATGGGGGTACCATTAAGAGAATGAGAGGGAAGGGTGCTAAGGGAGGGGGGTGCAGAGCCTTCAAAGGTTTTAATGATTTTGAGGAATGGGTCTTGCCTCTCTCTGTGCAGATCACAGACCTGCTGCAACTTAACAAGTTATTGTGATCTGTTAGGCCCTCTGAGCCCCCTAAAACTGAGCCTTGCCAAATAGCCTGGCATCAGCCCAGGACCACATCAAGGGGAGCCCCTGGAGAGAGGTGCGAGTAGAATTTGCTTTAGGGCACACAGAGGAATCAGGGGAATAGAATGCCTACAGTTGGAGTAGCCCAACCTAGGAGAACCACATCCACCCAGGTAAGGAAGACCAGATAGATGCCAGGTGGGGGGGTAAGTAATCAAGCTACAAGCAGCAGGAGCTATGAGCACCAGCACGGTGGAATGGCCCCAAAGGGGCTGTGTTCAAATCCCAACTCTGCTGCTTACAACCTGGGGTCCTGGGACGAGTGATTTAGCCTTTATTTCTTCCTCTGTAAAATGAAAGGACTTGACTAGCTGAGGCCCCTTCCAGCACCTTGCCTAAGGTCATTTTTGGACCAGTCATGTAGCCATGGTGGCCAAACAAGAAAGAACACTATGACTGGGCACAGACTGTCCCATGAGGCAGTCGGGGGGCATTGTTGTACCCATGTGGATTGTGTAGCAGTAACCTTCCATGCTTCCTGAACCTTGTGGTGCTCTAGAAATGTGAGTCTTTAATGCATATTAACACTGGGCTCCTCCAGCTACCGTCTGTTGTTCTGTGTTACTTTTATTCTCTCCACTGCTAAATAAAAGACACTGACTTTCTTTCCCATTGTATTTGCAAATCTTCCTTACCAGATTTAGCGCTGGACCTAGGAGACAGCACACACATGCCTGCAACAACAGGACAGTCTTTCTTTCTGTCTTGAACCCTCATGAAGTTTAGTGAGCTTGTCTTAATGGGCCTGCTCTTAAACAAGGTCCTGGGAGTTGTAAGAGTTGCCAGTGCAGATTTAGACAGTGGAGGGTGGGGAAGGGGGCCTGGGACCTTTCCCATTGCCAGGCTCAAGGGGTTCACAACACGTAATGACAAAGGGATGAGGTCCCCTTTGTAAATACAGTTGTCTTAGAAGGCATTCAGGCTGACTTCTTTGAAGGATGACCTCAGGCTTTCTTTTTTAAAGGCTAAGACTAATCATCCAGCCTCTTTCAGCTTCTTGGCTGGTCATTCAGAGAAACTTGAAGGACTCTTGCCTAGGCTCTTTTTGGCTTAGGACTCCTAGCTGCTGGGACTTCTGAACCTTCCGGCACTTGGTGAGGTGGCTGCCTGGGCACACCATCAGTGTGTCCATCTTCCCTGAGGCTGGGGTGCATTAAAAGAATCCCAGCCTTAACAATTAACTGCCACATCTGACCTCAGCTGTTCCTTCCACACCTATTTGGCTCAACATTGCATTAGCTTTTTACAAATAATCGGGAGCCTAACAAATGGTCTTGAAGGCTGTCCTTCTTTCATAGGACATTTTTATAATAAAATCATTGAAGATTCTTCTGGTGACCATGTTACCACTAGTGCCTTCTTTTCCCTTTCGCTGGCTTTTTCTTTTACATCTGTTTTAACAAGGATAGGCAGCTAGATTCCTGGAGTTTAGACCTGTCTGTCTGAAGTCTGTGTCTCTGCCCCCTCAATCGGGCCTCAGATTTATGCCCCAACTTTTCAAACAAGATATCTTCTTCTGGATGACTATACCATATATATCATATACCATAGCAGATGAGGGAAGGAGAGAGAAATGCCTTCTTCTCCCTCTTCCTCCATGGGTGGAATGTGATAGAAACAGAGCAGCATTGAAATGTTCCTATGCTAAAAGGTGTGTGGGGTTAGAGCATTTAAGTGTGGCCAGTATAGACCCAAATCCTTCTAGCTTCTCCATACACAGCTCCTGGCCTGCACCTGCCGCAACTACTGATCTCTGTAGAGCTTAACTATTCAAAGCTTCCAGGGCATAGCCCATGCTCAGCCTAGCCAATTATGGTGCTCCTTCTGATTCTCTTAGAGAAAGATGTTCACACTCCCCCCCTACTTATTAACATTTTAATACCTGTTGCCTCTGTTATTTGTTTTCTATGACTATGTAACCTGAGGGGGAGGGGTAGCAAATCCCCTCCCCTTACACTTTTCTCCCATTATACTTTTCTTCTCCAGGCTTAACTTTTGAAATTCCTAAAGTGTAGGTGTGACCACATCATCCCCAGTTCAAGAAGTTTCATCGGCTCCCCTCTGCCTCTAAGATAAAATACAAATACATCTGGCATTTCAAACTCTTTATATATTTATATCTGGTCATATCTGTTTCATTTTGGGTAGAATGAGCTCTAGTCTGGCTGGGCCACTCACTATTTCCTGTACATGACATTATATCTCCTAAGCAGTCAGACAGGCAGATTCATCTGGGTAATGCCATAGATATAGTATTCCTATCTATGCATTTAAAATAGCTATGACATATATTTATGGTATTCCCCAAATTTAACATCATTTTAGTCTTTAGTGATTTTAAGCTATAATCACCATTACCTGATGTCCAATTCTTCTATACTATTTTACCCTGTAGTTATACAATTTCTGACAAAGAACTCTGTCACTGTATTGCATCCCATTCATTAGGAGAGGTATCACTGTTAATAGTATGTATGTGAGTGCATATAAGTGTGTGCACCTAGACCTATAAAATGGCAATTGGGGAAAATGATCTGTAAGACTCCTGATTTCACCATCTTGTTTTCCTGTAGTTCTCAGTTACTTTTCCCTTGGGAAAACATTTGCCAGTATGCTAAACAGAAAGGTAACATCCCTCCTGAGTTACTTTCCCAGCTCACACTCATACTTGTAGGTTGAGGACCAGAAAGGCGGCTAACACTTTAGGTTCTAAGTAACCCTGTAAATGGCTACTCCTGCTGTTGTAGCTTATGAGTCCCCACCAGTGTGCTTCTGATTAACAATCGGCCAATATACTATAATTAATTTTTAGCAAAGGTATTTCCTCAGATGACATGGCAAGAATAGTAATGAGAAAACATTCCCTCCTCAAACTCTGGGTATGCTTTCCAACAAACATAGACAACCATAGACCTAAATGGCAGTGGTGCAAATATGTAGCACACGTGTGTGCTGAAGGCACTCCCAGCTCCTGGTCTTGAAGTACACGGAAGGCCTTTCCCTCTCCCTAGAGTCCCCGTGCAGCTCCCCTCGACTGCTGTGCCTGCTCCTCTCCATAGCACCCCTCTCAGTTGGCAGAGTTCACGCGCCTAGAAGCTGCTTTTTCTCTCAGGAGACTGTGTCTCAGTACCTAGGCCTGCTCTCGCTTCTCTGCTAGGTACCGTGTTTCTTCCTGGTCTGGTCTAATAGCTTCCCTTCAAGGCTGTCAGTGGAGTAGCAAGAAGAGAGGAATTCCATTCTTTCCCTCCACAGGAGTCTCTCCACAGGCTGCCAGTATCTCCAAGTCTCCATTTCACACCTCATTAACACGTTGTGATTCATCCTAGGTCTTCTGGCATTGGGAGGAGGGGGTCTGGGAACCCATCCCTCAGAGAAACAGATGCATAAAATTCATGGGGTGCAGTGACTGTGAGAGCTAACTGGTGGTTGCAAGTCTGTGTCCGTGGACAATGAGTGATTGCTCGTAACTGACATGCATTTTCTGGCTTACGATACATTGTGCTGATCTCATGGATCCCTTTTCTACTCTTTTGGCAGAGCCTCATGCAGGTTTTAAAATAGCTTTCAATATGTTTGATACTGATGGCAATGAGATGGTGGATAAAAAGGAGTTTTTGGTGGTATGTAAACTAGTATTGCCTTTGATCGTTGTTAAAGTAGTCCATTATTTCATTTCATGTTTGAATGCTATCCAGTACAATAGAACAGGAAGGAAATGGATGGAAATATGGGCTATCATTGGAAAGGTCTCAAATGTGTACAAAGTATGAAATGATTGCCCTGATTTTTCATGTTTGCTAATGTTTACAATGTGCTTGAACACTCTCCATCTGTGTGTGTTTCATCCCTGCACACATGCATGGCCATACCTTCACGTGCAAGCACGCACGTAATAATTCTTTAAGCCTTAGAGATAACGTTGCTATCTCTATGTACAGACTATGGCTGAGAAAGTTGAAATGCCATTTCTGGTTCACCCTGTGTGCATGAAGAGGCTGTCTTTGGTTCGCTGCCATAGCCTCTCAGTAAAGCCGATTGCTTTTAGCAGTTTTGCCTCATGCGTGATGCATGTTTGCAAAGTGGCTGCCCTCCCCTCTGACTGTGCATGCTGTTTTTGTCTCTCATGTTCCCTTCTGTCCCAAGCTGGGCTGTTCTTTAAGGCTATATTCTGTTGTGTCCTTGGGGCCTGCTGGCTCACTCCTGATGTCTCTCAGTCACAGGAGTCAGAGTATGTGCATATACTAAACCAGGAGATTTAGATCTGGAAAGGGCCTTAATGCAACCCCCTCATTTTACAGAAGAGGAAACTGAGGCCCAGAGAAGGGAGGTCATCCTGGTAACCCTTAGTGTTTGTTCTTGACAGCCCTTCCTCCTGGCTTCCTGTCCTGACCTCAGTTTGTGGGATTCTCTCGAGTGGCTTTTTCTTGGTCACCTTCACTGGCACTTGTCTTCCCCGCCACTGCCACCACCCCCTTCACTCTCCGCTGATTTATGAAAGCTGCCCAACTCGGCCACTCCTCCGACTTGAGTTACCATTTGTATGTACCTCTATGCACATGTCTCCCAGGCTGATAGAAGCCCCCATCTTGAATGAACTCCACTTTCTCTGAACCTGCTGGAAGGGCAAATCTTTGTCCAATTACAATTCAAAGCAGGCTGTCCCAAGCCGAGTTCTTTGTCATCACTCCCCTGGTCCCCAAACCTGAGCTCTGTGCTACTTGCAGAGGGCTTCACACTCCTCCAGATGGCTCAGCATTGCAGTCTTAGGAGATGCTTTCTCCTTTGTCTTGCACTAGGTCCTAACTGTTATTCCTCAATGATATCTTCTGTCTAGTGACCTAAAATCCTAGGCTGATAAATCTTACACTTGTGTCCTAATTAGTGCACTGATAGACTTAAAAAACTAATTATGCATCCGACCTCAGACACTTGACACTAGCTCTGTGACCCTGGGCAAATCACTTAACCGATTGCCTCACCAAAAAGCGGGGAGGCGGGGGAACTAATTACACACCAAAATGCCTAACACACCACCAGAGCTCGTTTTACTGGCCTATGGCTTCTGGCTCATATGGTGGATTTTGCAACATAGTCATGTCTTAGGAGAGCTCCTTGTGGGCACCGTCAAGTAACAAAAAACCTACCAAAACTGAGAGGTTTGAAGATTCTGCATGAGCCTGAAAGCATGGCCCTTCCTCCAGAGACACAAAAAGCATCCTAGAGGACAGGCATGATGTGGAAGCCCTCAGGCAGGTCCTGGAGTTGGGACAGCAGTGCCGTCCTTGTCCACGATCACCCAGAGAGGCTTCTGAGGAGCTCCAAGATGCAGCCTGCTCTAATGGTGGCTGCTGTTGGGCCTGGGGTCTATCCTATGAAATGTATCTAACAGGGGAAGGCAGACAAAGCCCGAGGCTTCCCTGCAAGCCCCTCTGCTTCCATTAGCAGCCCTAGGAGAGGTCCAGGAAGGCCCTGGGCTCATCACCAGTAGCTAGGCTCTTTTAGGAGGCCTTCCTTCAGAGCTAATGACACAGTTTTTGCACATTTCACATTATGTCAGTGTCAACGAGGTTAATCATAGTTTATAAAGTGGTAAGTTATAAGGTTTTTTAAACAATAGAGAAGTACAGTCATTACTGTTTCAGTGACCCTCGTGGAGAGACCTTGAGGTAAAGGAGAAGAGGAATAGATACCTTCCTGGAGGTTAATGGGTGGCTGGGGGGTGCCACAGTGCACAGAGCGCTGGGCCTGGCATCATGAGGGGGACCTTGGGCAAGTCACTTAACCTCTGCTTGCCTCAGTCTCCTCATCTGTAAAATGGGCATCATAACAGCCCCTCCCTCCCAGGGTTGTTGTGAGGATCTTTATAAAGTGCTTAGTGTAGTGCCTGGCACCTAGTCGGCCCTGTACCGACGCTAACCGCTGTTATTATCATTATTAATGGCACCGAGCAGTTACCGGAACACTGAGAAGTTAGGGACTTTATCGGTTGTTTTACCTCCATCTGTGAGCACGCCCTTGGCTTATGAGCCCAGTGACCTTGTCGATAAATGATTTAAGCTTAGTTTGGCTTGACCTGGGCTTGGTGAATTCACGAGGCTTGGCTTCTTGTGGCACCTCTGCTGGGACCTTGGGCAGTGTAGTATATTATACAGAGCTCTGACGTCCGCATTCATGAGCCACGTCACCCTGAGCAAGTCATGAGACCAAAGCTTCATTGAATTGAGGGCTTGGGAAGGCCTCCCCCTTTGTTGTGAAGATGAGGAAACTGAGGCCCAGAGGAAGGATGCACAGGTCCTCTGAACCCAAATCTAAAACACTTTTTATTCTACTGATGCATTGAACTACTATCATCTCTAAAATGGGGGTAACAGTCCTTGTACTACGTGACTCAAGGATTATTCTGGGAAATGCTGGTCCGATTCAAAGTACTCCACTAAGGCAGGATGCCATTATTATTCATCCCAAATTTCAGTTGTTCCTCCATAAAATGGGGGGTAACAACTGGTGCTGCCCCTTCCCAGGGTTGTTAGAAGGAGAGTGAATGTCTGTGCAATCAGAGCAAGTAGGGGAAGATGCTTAACAAAGAGTGAGGCCTGAGGAAGTGTAACGTCCAATTTTTGTCATTTTTAGCTTCAAGAAATATTCAGGAAGAAAAATGAAAGGAGAGAAGCCAAAGGAGATGAGGACAAGCGGGCACTGTTGGTAAGGGCACCTCCATCCTTCTGTGCTGGGCCTTGGTCATGTCTGAGCCCGAGAGCATCCTTCTCCTGCTCCCTGCCAAGGCTGCAGCAGGCACATCCATTGGTACCAGGGGTCAGCCTCATTATCCAGCATGGGGAGGGGCTGTAGCTGTCACCAGAAGTGTCGATGGACCATTAAGGCATTTTGGGTGGCAGCAGGATTGATGGAAGCATGTGACTTTCTGCAGGGGAAAATGTGAAGATGAATTTATTTTACATTTAGGGAGCTTCCTCTGCCAAAGGCTTCCTCTCCCTTGGCTTCCCCCAGGCTGGGCCAGACTGAGGAACTTGGTTACAGGTTCCATGTTGGCCAAGCTCAGTGAGAGTCATCGCTAGAAGGTGAGGTTCTCAGCTCCAGTAACTCGAGAAGAACTGCCAGAGCCTAGAAGGGCTGAGATGCCCAAGGAAAGCATCAATTTTGTGCCTCCAGGGCCATTTCTGAGGCTCTAGGTCCTGACTCCTGCTGTGCCTCTGGGTTAGAGAGGAGGCCAAGTTTGCCTAATCACAGTGCCTGGAGCAGTGGTCTCCAACCAGGAGAAGGGTTTGGAAACCTGCAGGAGAACTGGAGAGGATAGGGTTGTCCCAGGTGATGGAGTTCTCCCTGGTGTTGGAGAGGAGCTTCGTGTTGGCATGGGATATGGCCCATCTTCCTACCCCTAACCCCACAGGGCCAGGCTACAGCCCTGCTTTAAAGACCATTGCCCCAGAGCCCAAGGAACTGCCCCCGTGCGATTCAGAAATTGTTTTTGAGGGTCTGCTGGAGCCCAGGCAGGATCTAGATGCTGGGGATCCAGCTGTCTCCCTCCTGACAGAGTTTCCTTTCCCCAATGCGGGATGAATTCCAACCCTCTTGATGACTGGGAAGGGGAGAGAGAGTGTTGATGGGACTTCTTGGGATTCTGCTAGGAGGAGCAAAGAGGAAAAGGACTCCAGGCATGGCAGCAATGTGTGCAAAGCCTCAGGCTGCAGATGGAGCTAAGTCCGCAGGGCTCAGCACCCTGGCCAATGCCTCACCCGGCAGTCAGTGGTACAGATGACAGATGCTTGCTGTTCCTGCCACAGCCTCATGAAAGGCAATTGCAGATTGCTAGTTACTCTCAGTGGTTTCACATTTTTAAAAACACAGATACAGAGAGAGAGAGATATGTGAGTACATATATCTATACAGGTGTATATGTGTGTGTGTGTGTGTATGTATATATATATACATATATATGTATATATATACATATATGTATACATACACATATATATGTATATATACATATATATGTATACATACACATATATATGTATACATACACATATATATGTATATATACACATATATGTGTATATACATATACATATATATGTATATATACATATATATGTATATATACACATATATATGTATATATATATACATATATATGTGTGTGTGTATATATATATATATATATATATGCACACACATCACTCAAGGAGGATACTTTAAAAATGGTTTTGGTTCCTCTGACTTTTGAAGAGGATGAGATTTCATTTCCTCCACTAAAGCAGATCCAGGGCCCTGCCAGCCATTCACTCTCAGGGAGGCTCGTGGGGACCTGTGCCCTCCTCTTCCTCTTTTTAGACCTGGTGCCTTTGCACATCCCCAAAGGGAAGTAAGCCCAAGGCACCAGGGCAGATAATCAGCAAAGACTGGCATGCATTACATTCAGTGCAGTAAAGAACTCAAACTAGCCAGGGCAGGCCTCTCATAATTAGGGAAAAGTCTAAATTTGGGGGGTTTGTGTAAGTGAGTTTACTTTCACCTAGACACAGGAACCAGGCTAACAAGATATTACCTAGCATAGGTAACATGGGGACTTGCTTTAATGCACAGATAGGAAATGCATTCTGGTGTCACGGATCAAATGGTGGGCTTAGAGTCCGAAAGATCTGAATTCAAATCCTGCCTCTGACACTTATTTGTATGTCCACATCTGGGTCACCTAACTTCCTTAAGCTGCCAGTAACTCTCTCCAGAGTTAGGTCTCCAAGGTTAGAGATAGTCACAGAGAGCCCCACCCCAATAGCTAGTCTACCACTGGCTTCCACACGTTTCCTGCACAATTCATGTTATTCCCCTTCAGGTCCTCCATATTATTCAAGAAAATGGTCCTGCCTCCTGTTTGCTGAACTGGAGAGTCTGCGTCCCACCTCTGTGTACACAGTACCCAGAGTGCCCCTCATTCTGCCCATCTCCCTTCTTAGCACCACATCTGAAAATCCCCAGCTTCCTTCACTGCTCGGCTCCGTGCTCCTCCCCTCCCAAGGAAGGCTTTTCCTCACCCCTGTTGTGTGTGCTCCTTCCCTCCTCAAATTTTCCTTGATTACTTTCTCTGTATCTGGTGGCAGCCCCTCACTCCCCACCCGAGAACAGGGGCTCTTTTGTTTCTGCCTTGTGTCCCCAATATCCCTAGCCCAGAGCTTTGCATTTAACAAGTGTTTCTAGTGCCGAATGGAAACATTGTTGTTTCCAAAGTCTACCCCAGAGCTGTTTCTCTTCATCATATCCTAGGGGTAGAGCTGGAGGGACATTTGACAATCTTACAAAGCAGCCCCCATTTATAAATGCCACCCAGAGAGATGGTATCTTTCCCAAGATGGGCAGTGTCAGACCTGGGATTTGGCCCTCAATCTGCTGTCTCAGAATCCAGTTGTCTCTTCCCCACCCTGAATGCTTTCTGCCCCAGGTAGCTAAGTAGCCCCCTCCCAGTCTTGTATATGCTGTTTGATGGGAGGATATAGAGGTCAACCGCTTCCCCACTAGCCCTGTCCTGGTCGTTGTAAGTCCCCGATTCCCAAAGTCTAAGGTTTTCTACAGACTCCTCGAGTGTTTTTGGCTAAACTGTAAAATAGAAATCACTGAATGAATCACTTACAGAGCCCACATCAAACATTCATTCAGATGGCCTGAAGTTCCCTCTTGGTCTGTGGTTAATGCCACAGCTTCTGCAGAGAGTGGCGCAGCTCCCAAAGGTCCCCACGGCTGCTACTGACTTGGCTGGAGTTCCCAGATCCACCCCTAACAGCAGTCCAGCCTTAGGAGGAGGAGAGAAGAGGAGCCCCCGCCTGCAGCACTGAGGGTCATGCCGCTCTGGCCCGGGGCTGCTGTGTGTAGAATGGAGCCGAGTGGCTCACCCAATTCCTAACCGACTCTTTTGTCATCTTTCCTTTTCCTGTTGCTGTTCTGAAATGTGACCCTTCCTTTGGCCCTTTGTGCGTGTGTCAGCGTGTGCAACTTTATGGACTCCATGCCTCTCCTACTAATGTATGTACCAACCCTCTCGATGTTCTTTATGTTTCTGGATCTCACCGGGCTGGGGGCAGAGGGCCGCTGGGGGAAGGGAGGTGGGGGGAGGGGAGCTGACAAGGTTGTTTCCTTATAGAAAAGCAGCCTCTTCTAACTACTAGGCTGCCCCATTAAGGACTGGGTGGTCCTGGAGCCTCATACTAAGGACGGAGAAAGTTGCCTCTAGCTGATTTTAGACTAATCAAAGGAAAGGTCACCTTCTAAAAGAAGCGTGGGGGGGGGGGAGAGTAGGAATGGGGAGAATAGAAAAGGAATACTTCACAGCATGAATTGTCCAAGGGATTTGCACATTCAGAATTCATATAAACGAGCTTCTTAATTCTCCATGCCCCTCATGCTGAATTCGGTTCCATCTTCTTGTCTTCTCCCAACAAGCTGGAGTTTGTGGCCTTCTCGAAGGGCCAAACGCCCAGGAGCTGTGTGGTGGCCCGTTGGCCAGACCCGCAGTACCTGGCAGATCGATAGATTCAGGAAGTGTGTGGGCTCGTCGCCCGGGGGGTCTTCAGGGAATTCCTCCCAGTCTTTGTCGTAAATCTCTGGTCACTGACCCGGCATTATGGGAGGGCTGCCAGGTGCAGAGCTTGTCTGTCCTTTGGTCTTTCTGTGTTTAACTGGACACACTGGCCAGGCCAGGTGATAGAAGCATTGGCATTCAAGGACACATTCAAGCAAGTACTGACATGCGTCGTCTCTTTCCATTGTCTCAGATGCCGTAATTTAAAAAAAAAAACAAAAACCCAGCAGTCTTTGAGGAGATCCCAGCTGCCCCGCACAGATTATGGCCAGTTCCCCAGGACTGTAGGACCACTGCCAATTTACAGTAAGAGACCCTTGGCAGTGGATAGAGCACCGGCCCTGAAGTCAGGAGGACCTGAGTTCAAATTCGGCCTCAGACCAAACACTTGACACTTACTAGCTGTGTGACCCTGGGCAAGTCACTTAACCCCAATTGCCTTAAAAAAAATGAGAAAAAAAAAGAGACCTTTGGATTTGTATTGAGGGCCCTCAGTGTCAGACCAGAGGCCCTTTCCCTTCCCTGAGGAGCCTGCCACCACTCTGGAAGGGACTCCCAAGGCATTCTGGGAAGCACCTCGAGACCAGAATCCAGAGTGGGACCCACAGAGCAGCAACAGCATCTTCCTCCTCATCATCACAAAAGCTAGCATCTTTATGGAGCCCAGCATGAAGAGCAGAGAAGGCTGTCTATCTGGTTTTGGACTAAACCAAGGCAAAAGTCTTCATTCTAAAGCAGGCGATATAGTTTAAGAGAAGACTTGCCTTGCATCATCACCACCAGGCTGATGCTGAAATGGAAGGCAGGCTCTCACTTCCTTCTTGACTCAGCTGATTAGTCTATATCAATTCACTGTCTTACAGCAGGGGAAATTTTGCTCAGAAAGAAGTGATGAGTGTTGTGAAGTTCAGGAGCACAAGGAAATCTCATTTAGATCCACAGAGCAAATGCAAAGACACTGCAAGGGTTTTTAAATACTTACTGCACAGGACGTTTTAGTGACTTCATGATTTTACTGTTCTGAATTGATCGCCCTGGTCAGATATCACGCTCACGTTCAAGGGCAGGGTAGAGAGTCAAGCCTGGGGCAGGGACACCCCCCCCCAGAGAGACAAGGCTGAAGGTGCTGCTTCCTGCCACAGAACAGTATTGCATGCCTTGGTGTTGATCCTCAGATGGAGGCTCAGTGGCCTCGACACAGCCTTTGCTTTTCCCCACTGGCTGCACTCTCCTAGCCATCTGGTAATCCATCAGGTCATCTCTGCACTGCCCTCCTCCTCCTCTTCCCGAGGTCCTCATCTCCTTCTCCTCTTGCTGTCATGCTTTGCCAGACCCACCTTTGGATGGCTCCCACCATCCACGTCCTCCACTCTACTCCCAGGCTGCTTGGGGAGCTGGAGGGAGGTCTTAAGCCACACTGGCTAGGCCTGTTCCCCATTTATTGCGCAATCTCTGTGGGGCCTCCCCTGGAGCATTCCTCCCTAATTGGTTCACTATCCCCAATACCAAAAGTGGCTATTCTTTTGTCCTCCTTCAAGCCTCCCATGGCTCTCCCCTTCCCACAGTGTCAGGTATGTTTATCCATGTCACTGTACTGTGATTACTATGAGGGCTGGCAGGCTCTTCAGTACTGGGCAGTCGCAGACTCACGGGCTCCCGCCCACCTGTGCCCCATCAGTGAGAGGTGCCCAGCCTGTGTGGGAAGACTGCAGGTAGGGGGAGGCAGCCGTGGCAGGAGAGCGCTCCTGCCGTCTGACCAGACTTGTGACCCTGTAAACTCCTCTGATCTGGAGCCAGGTAGAGTGAGGGCAGCATCTCTGACCCGTAGCAGGCTATGGGCTGTTGGAAAACCTTGGCCTTTGGGCTCGCTGTCCTGGCTCCTTCGTACAGTCTTCACGTCACACAATTTCCAGGCTTCTTATATTCCTGAGCAGTGCACTGAGGACATGCCCACCTTGTCACTTGGATGCCCAGAACTGAGCACAGTGCCCTGGTGGGCCCCGGCCAGGGTAGATCAGAGCAGGTCCTGATTCTGGACACCACATCCCTATTAGCACAATCTAGAAGCTTTGAGAGAAGGGACAGAACCCCTCCCACTTCAGCACTACAAAGGTGTTCTCCCTTCACTGACACAGATAGCAGCTCCCTTCACCCTGAAGCAGAAGTTCTCAGGCATTTCTATGGCTAAAAGAATCTACCAGCCTGTCACTTATCCAGCGATGACCCTCTCTGAGGGGTTCATCTGGGCTGGTTCCTCAGGCATCTGCAATCATCCCCCAGCCTTGGACCTTGCTGCCTGACCTCAGGTTTCTGGCCCAGGCTTCAGGCGCCCCAAGTGGCCTCTGGACTGGGCTGAAGCATCAGAGCGGTGTTTGGGGGGGCACTTCTCAGAGTAAGCAAACAACCAATGCCCTGCAGATCTGGTGAAATCTCCCCACTTACACTCCAGCATAAAGGACATGTCATCACTGTCATCGTCTCTGTGTAGGTGTGTGTGTATATACATATCTGCGTATTTTACATACACGTATGTGTTCTGACCTGTGTCCCACCAATGAGCACCTGGTGTGTGTGTCTGTAGTAGGAGGGAGCCCTGGGGGGCTCTGTGAGCTGCCCAGCCTGTCGGGATCAGAGGCCCTTCAGAGTGACCAAGGCCAGCCCTCCCTCAGTGGGGCTCCTCTCTGGGTCTTCAGCAAGGGAGAGGGCCAGGGGACTTTGGCCAAGTGTGCAATCTTCCACCCCCTGGAAGGTGCAGCATTTCTTCCTGCAGAGGCTGTGACTCCTAGACTGGGTTCTCTGAGGATCAGCGGGGATCCTTCACCTTGAGGGGATCCCTTTGAGAATCCCCCCAGGGAGGCACGTAGGTCACCAACATGTGACACCTTGCTCTCCAGGCCTTCTTCACATCACCCCGACCAGCAATGATGTTTCTTGTCATACTCGCATTAAAAAAAAGAGGGGTTGATATTTTTTGACAAAGTCCAGCCAGGACTTTTAATCAAAAGAGCACCATTGCCCATTGAAAGTCCTGCAGGTTAATGGGCAGCCCCCCAACCAAAGGCTGAGTTAGTGTGGATCTCTTCTCTTTGGATGTTGGTTAGAAGAGCTTCCAAGAGTGGAAGCTGTCATTCTTGGGGATCCCACTTTAGATTTCAATTGTGCCTCTTGAAACTTCTACAGGTACTTAAAACAGGAGAACTCATCTCCAGAAGCTACTGGGATACGCTGAGACGGAACACGAGCCAGGCCCTCTTTTCCGACCTTGCTGAGGTATCAGTCCAGGCACTGTTTGTCATTTTATTAGTTTAGTCTTCATTTCATTTCAGAATCAATGGATCATTAAAAACTCATTGTGTATAAACCAGTGGTTCTCAAAGTGTGGTCCAGAGTCCCTGAGACCCTTTCACAGGGCTCTATGGGGTCAAAGCTACATTTATAACAATGCTAAGGGGGTAGCTAGGTGGTGTAGTGGATAGAGCTCTGGCCTTGGAGTGAGAAGAACCTGAGTTCAAATCCGCCCTCAGACACTTGACACTTACTAGCTGTGTGACTCTGGGCAAGTCACTTAACCCTGACTCACCAAAAAAAAAGTCAATGGTTAAAAAAAAGTTAAAAAAAACAATACCAAGACTTTTCATTGAATGTGGTGATTTTCAGTAGATAAAACACACACATAAGTTTTGGGGTCTTCCGTCATTTTTAAGGTTGTATATGGATTCTGAGACTAAAAGGTTTGAGAACCACTTGTTAGCCATTTCTGCTTCACTTAGCAAGAATTAAGACAATGAAATGATGCGGGTGGTCTTTCCCAAAGAGGGACAGAGTCAATGAGTTCATTGTTTCATGACTTTCTGTAGCTTAGGCGATAGGAGACATCACCTCTACTTGCTGTCCTTTTTGTATACTTGTAACATGCCTTGGTTTTGGTTTTGACTTCAATCTGTGTCTTTTTAAAACTTGCATTTGACTCCATTATGCCAATTGCTGACGTTCTTTTATTTAGCTCGTCAGAAGAGAGATGACTGTGAATCAATGATAGACACCTTACCTGACTAAAATCCACACCAACTCTTCCTTTAAGGAATAAGGCCGTCTCTGCAGAAGAGAGGTTTGGACTTATTTGTGAAAGGTTTAGCTCAGCTCCCCAAACCAAGAGCATTTTTCAGACTCTAACTATTTGGGTATTGGATAGCGATGCTCTGCAACTGGCAATGTGAAAGAAACCCTCCACCCCAAAGAAGGCTGTCTTAGTGGCATTAGCGAGCACACACTGGGCAGCTGTCCCTGTCTCTTGGCAGAGCAGGTAATAGAGTGACCCCTCAGAGGGTCATTGGGTGTCCCCTTTTGTCTCTAAGGGTACCCTCACCAGGGCAGCTTGGGCCAGTGATCACTGCCTCCAGGGAGCACATCCTGCAGGCTCCCGCCCTCCATGTCTTTCTTTCCCTGTGCTGGGCAGTGGAAGCTTTAGGACCCACTCCTGCCTTTTCTGTACAATTGAGGCGGTGCTAGCCAAGTGTGCGTACTGCCATTGGTCATTGCCCCGTCACCATGGAGCTCACCACCTTAGCCTCAGCACTTAGAGGTAGACAAGTGGGGGGCTGAGGGGAGGCACCTTTTCATTTGAAGACAGATAAGAGGCTCTTTCATTTGTACTGGGTTGAAGTACTATTTCTAGCAACATTATGCCATGCATTTGGAGGGACCCAATGAACAATGGGGACAGTGACAGCAGACATTAACACAACAGTTTCTAGTTTGTTTTCTGTTACTGGTTTTTCATTGTGTCTTCACCATAGCCCTTACTGGCAGGTAATGCAGCTATTGTGATGCCTATTTTACAGGTGAGGGAAGTAGGTCTCAGAAAGAGGGCTGGGTTAGGGGTGGGAGTTGTGGGGGTGGAATCCTAGCTCAGCCATCTGTGTTTGGATGAGATCTTGGGCAAATCACTGCATTTCTCCACCTCCTCATACAGGAGGAGTGGAAAAGAGGACTCTGGAGCACCTTCTGGATCCTACAACATGCAGCCAATGTAAAGGGAACTAAAAGATATTCAAGAAAGAAAATGAGTCCAACCAATCTGGAGAACGAATGATTTGGCACTAGGCCTAAGGGACGATAAAACCATTCGTGCCCTTTGACCCAGCAATACTGCTGCGAGGTTTGTATCTTAAAGAGACAAAAAACAAAAAAGGAAAGGACCCATGTACACAAAAAAGCTGATAGCTCTTTGTGTGATGGCAAAGAATTGGAAATTGAGGGGATGCCCGTCAACTGGGGAGTGGCTGAACAAGCTGTTGTGTATGAATGCTATAGGAAATGATGAGGGGGATAGTTTCAGAGAAACCTGGGAAGCCCAATATGAACTGATGCCAATGTAGTGAACAGGACCGGGTGGCCAAAGCACAGCAAGGTAGCAATGACCGTCTCTGAGAGCCTTAGTCATTGTGATCAGTACCATGACCCACGCCAGCTCCAGAGGACTCACGATGTAAGATGCTGCCCACCTCCACCTAGAGCACAGGGGTCCCAGAATGCAGACAGAAGTTTGGTTGGCTTGGTTTGACTTCCTTTATTTTTCTTGTTGTTTTTTTTCAGGACATAGATAACATGGAAATGTGTTCTGCATGACTTCATATGGATAATGAGTATAATATTTCTTCCCTCTCAATGAGTGGGGGAAGGATGGCAGGAGGGAGAGAATTTGGAATTGAAAATAAAAATTAAATTTTACAAAAAGAAAATGGATAGCATGTACTCTGGGCTGAAGGATAAAAGGCAAATCCCGATCATTTCCCCCACTATGGGAGCCAGACTAGTTACATTTTAGGGTGTCTTGAAGCACCCTTCTCCCTCAAATATAATTGTTGAAATTTCCCTAGCAGAGATTCGTGTTGCAGGTTGACAGTCTACTCTTAAAAATGCAAGGAGCGGTGGAACCCCATACCGTGAATGAGCAGCTCAGTGTAGTCATTTGTTCTTGGGGGCATTAGATCTTTGCCCAGGCTGGGCTGGCGAGGAGAGGGATGGGATTGTTAGAAAGCCCAGGGTCCCAAGGTGGGCACAAGAGAGCAGAAAAGGAAGTGGGAGGGTCCTGCAGACGAACTTCACCCTTCAGAGAGTGGTAGAATCTAAGCATTTTGAGCAAAAGTCTGGAGAAGATAATGCTTTAGCTTAGTGAAGAAGCGTGCCTCCCTATTTCATGCTCTCACATACAGCATAGCAGGGTAGATGAGACCTGGGTTCCAGTCCTTGCTCTGACCCCCACTGGCTGGTGATCACTCTGTGCTCCAGGTGCTGTGGGGCATTGAGTTTCCCCTTCCTAGGAGTTCCCTGCCCCAGTGAAATCCAAAGTCTAATCCCTGTTCCTGGGCTGTCACTTATCCTTTTCATTGCTGGAACAGTGCACTGCCGGGGGAAAAATCCTGTTTCCTTCCACCAAGAGGATATGCAACTGTCCCTTTGAAGGTAAAAAGCCTTAGGAACAGTCAGTGCCCCAGCCAGATCTGTGCCAGCTCCAAATGCAGTGCTCTGACCACATCAACCTCCCTCTGGTCCTAGCCACCTCCTCCTGGCCTTACTACCAAATGGCCAGGAACAAGTGGGATCCCTACCTGGACAGGCACTCAGAGCCAGAGCCCATTCCAGCCAGCTCTCGTCCTTAGCCAGAGCGCTGCTGCCGCTCCCCAGCCAAGCGCCTCACTGCCTCCCTGCGCCAATAGCGACCCTCGCTAAGGTTGGCTATTCAGCTCTTCTCGGCAGTTTTTCAGAAATCACTTTGGAAGCTTCAATATGGAAGAAGCTAATGTCAAAAAGCCCTTTGTGAAGTGGGCCTGGCAGCCCCTTCCTGCCTGATTTGCAGGACAGATGTACCCTGGTAGGCCCATTGTCCACTACGAGCCGAGCCGGGCTCCAAGCCCCGCTGGCCAGCTGCTCAGGGCTACAGAAGGCAAACCTGCAGGCCAAAGTTGTTGGACTTTATGGAGAAGTGAAGCTTCTGAGGGCCGGAAGGAGAAAGCTTACATTCTAAAGCCAAATCCCATTGAGTTCTAGAGGATCAGAATCCCTGAAATGCTGTTTAGCTGCCTTGTTAGAGTCGTGGGCCCTTTAGGTTACTACCAAACTAGTGTGTCCCAATGGATTGTTCACATAACAGTATTTTCAGGGTCTCCATTTGTTCAAAGCAAAGTCTTGAAAACCTGCTCATAATCACACTTTTATTCATTATAAATCACAAATCAATTAAGATTTTCCAGGTAATTGTTTTTCAATATTATTGACAAATTTGAGTAGTAATCTGCCCCAGACTCTAGGCCCAGAGCTAGATGTAACCCTAAGGATTTGGAGAACCCCAGCAGAGCCCTGTTTCAATAAGCTCATTATTTTTTTTGCCTAAATTTATCTGTCTCCCAGGTAAAGCATGTCCTCTTCAGCATAGCTACATACTGCAATTTCCCAAAGCCTCGTATTTAACTTGTGGCAGAAAGGGGCCTTGCCAACTGTTTTCCAATATTACTTTATCATGGGCTTTGCAGGCTTTCACTCTACAGAGCCATACTGAAAGGCTACATCCTGTTAAAGGTCCAGTTCTCATTGTCAGAGCTCGGGAAATTTCTCCATTGGATGTTTCTTAGACAAATTTCATTGATAAAGCCAGTTTCTCTGAATGGATAAAAACCTGTAAAAGCACTACTTCTGTTCAAAGGCCTCTTGTCACTTTCATTTATGTACTAGAATTTGATTCAAAAATACAGAGAGCATACATACAGCTTTGTAGGATGGGACCTGCCTGTATTTTATTTTTGCAATTATTTTAAGGAAATTAGATCAAAGCAAAGTGAGATAATCCCCTTCTGTGAAAATAGCATCTGGGGTTCTTTTGTGGCTTTGGTGTCTTTTTGTTATGAAAACACCTGAATTCATTTTCTTTTACAACAAGCAGGGGAATGAAAGAGCTCAAGCCCCTGGTTTTGTCTCACCCTTTCTGAGGTTCAAGTTATATAATGCTGGGAAGGTACAGAGACGTGAGGCTGGTTTTCAGTGACTCTGAACTGTGCTCTGTTTCACAGAATGAAAAAATGTTTTCACCATTTTCATTTGCTCATTTTTTTTCCTGATGTCAGACTGGAGCTCATGGCCCTGCAGATCTGGATTAGCTGGATAAATGCAACCTAAATCTAATAAGATTTTGATGATGAAAGCCTGTAAGGAAAGATCTGATCTGCTCAGGAGCCATGAGAAAAACTGGTTCAATGAGGTCATTGTTGAAAAGT